CAAAATCTTCATCGGATCATAAGGCGCGGCATAGAGACTTGACCAACTTGTCACAAAGTCAACCTTAGCCCACCGAATGATGCGCCTAGGAGCCACGAAGTTCCCACAGGATCATATGTTCACTCTAGTAACTTGGCCAACTTGTCACAGAACCAAGTTGGACTCACCGGACAATCCGTCAGGGTATCACAAATCACCGTTGAGTCGTATGGCCCTGATCAGTTGGTTGGCCATTCGACAAAATTCAAGGAGTGGGCCTCACCCAATGATCTATCGGGGTGTCATGAATCACCACGGATGATATGGTGACCACTCAGTTCTGGGACTAAGTCTTAATTGCCTTGTGCATAGTGACACCGAATGATCTGCCAAGTATCACCCCTATCGTTTGGTGCTCATTCCGATGCATTTTCTAATCGTGTTTTAAGTCTGATCTAGAACAATTCAACTTCTTTGAGATCATTGATTTAAAACTTATCCAATGAGGCCACTTTTGCTTCAATCTTGATTAGAGTAAGCCTCTCGTGCATACCAAATGCTTTCTACTTAAACTACCTTAAAGTGTATGCCTTGGACCCTTTTAATAGTACGACTAAAGGAAAAACAAAGTCCTAATACATTCTATGTCAAGTGTCTCCGAGAACTAGGCTTACACTTGACGCTATATAGTTCTTGGTCTTCATGAAAATCCTTTGCGCCACACGCTTCGTTAAATGGTCTTTCTTATGACTTAACCGTTATGATGATCCGCTACAAAATACATGTTAGTCATAATAAATCATGCTCATCAATCATCAAAACCCTAAAACCAACTTTAGGGCTTAGATGAATTCACTTACTACTCGAAGTTCGTCGTCTAACAAGAGAATCTCCACCAACTTGTTGTACAAAGCATAGATGCACATGTACATTGATTTACTAGGATTTAGTTATAACCAATTAAAAAGCAATTCTTTAAACCGATCAGGATATGATCTCTTTGTAATCCTTTGCACCAAGCCAAATCTTGGCATGCTAAATTTTGTCTTAGCTAAAAGAATTGGCGGCTTACCTACTAGACAGTAAGGAGCCAACAAACAATCCATAAAGAACACCACCAATGTAAGCATACAACAATAGTAGTCGCATTAAAAAGGTTATGTGACATATGATGTTGAAGTTTAGGGCTGTGTTCTCTTAGGCCATGCTCAACGCGACAATGTGGCGTGCTGCCCTAGGCTCCACGTTGGCATTATTGATCTGTGTCATACGAGATGGTAGCTCCGCAGACTCACAGTGTCTCTTGCAGAACTAGGACTCATATGACATCTCTTTTTCGCCTGATGAAAAAAATTTTGCTAGACATGCAGTGACCCCTCTTTGCTATGATGCAAAATTTGCGATTTGTTGGAAGAACTAGGACTCCAATATGACATCTTTTTTTTCAGCTTTGTACCACACCTACAGGTTTGGACCGTTGGGTAAAAGAGAAGAATAAGCATGCGTTGGTCGAGTCAAGCTCTTGTTCCATCAATATCTACATGGCCTGCAACTTTAGGCAATTAGGCTGGGGCTAACGTTCAATACTGCCACGTTGGATTTGCTCTCATATTCTCTCTCATCTATAATGCCTTCATCCTTAGCTTTTTCTCTCTCACATAGCATGAATGCTTGCTTTTTGCAGCAAGGCTATCGCATCTTCTGAAGTCAATTTGACAAGCCTGCAAGTAACTATCTCTACTAAATTGGCACAAATGTCACGTGGATATGATACAAGTATCTATCTCTACTAAGGCCTTGTTTAATTCCTCCTTAAAAATTTACATTTTATCCCATCGAATATTTGACACATGTATAAAATATTAAATATAGATTAAAAAATAACTAATTGCAGAAGGACATTTCCGTGCTTCTCCTCCGGCAGCCCGGAATGAATATTTTATTCGATTACCGCCAAATTTGTAAGAACCAGGAAGTCTCCTCCGGCGGGAAGCAGTGCCCGCTTAGCTTAGGGTCAGTGTCCAGCAGCAAATTTGCGTTGGTCGAGCCTACATGGCCTAATTTAGGCAATTAACCTCTGAGGTCAGCGGCTCGTGAGGAGACGTGGGAAGCGGCTAAATGTTGAATATTTATTCGATCCGTGTCTACCAAATTTGTAAGGAAACCAGAGTGTCATAATCATCAAATTTTGCATGCCCGCTAGTAAAGAGGGGTCACTTGGCATGTCCGTAAATTAATGAAGAGAAGAATAATTATCTACATGGCCTGCAACTTTAGGCAATTAGGCTGGGGCTAACGTTCAATACTGCCACGTTGGATTTGCTCTCATATTCTCTCTCATCTATAAGGCCTTCATTCTTAGCTTTTTCTCTCTCACATAGCATGAATGCTTGCTTTTTGCAGCAAGGCTATCGCATCTTCTGAAGTCAATTTGACAAGCCTGCAAGTAACTATCTCTACTAAATTGGCACAAATGTCACGTGGATATGATACAAGTATCTATCTCTACTAAGGCCTCGTTTAATTCCTCCTTAAAAATTTACATCTTATCCCATCGAATATTTGACACATGTATAAAATATTAAATATAGATTAAAAAATAACTAATTGCACAGATTGCGACTACTTTGCGAGACGAGTCTTTTAAGCCTAAGTAATCCATGATTTAACAATGTGGTGTTACAATAACACACGTGCTAATGACGGATTAATTAGGCTTAATAAATACGTCTCACGGTTTACCGATGGATTCTGTAATTTGTTTTTTATTAATATCCGAACACTCCACGCGACACCCATATAATACTCGATGTGACACCCCAAAACTTTACACCCTGAATTTAAACACTACCTAAGTTAGCACTTATATCATGCAGATAGAGACGAAGACACACGCCACGTTGGTACGTTGGAGCCGAAATGCCACGTCACCGAAATTTTCAACACCAAACTTTTCGTACCTGAAAGAAGAATTCTTTCTAGGGTTAATTGGAATGGTGCCATTACAACTTTCATGGTTCCGAAAAACATCATTATAATTCACATATTTTGAAATATACCATTATAATTCTGCCACTCTTTGAATACACCACGCTCTACGTATGATATTGCTTTGCACCCAGCTGCAGGACGACAACACATATAGTATTTTCGTATAGACCGTAATGCCCCTGCCTCTTTCTTCTTCCTCCCTCTCCTTCTTGCATGTTCTAATGGCGTCCATGGAGCCCCCCATGCCAACCACCGCCCTCATCTCATCCACCTCCGTGCTCCCGTGCATCTAGGAGCTCCCCAGGGAGGAGCTTGGCGAAGGGGCCAGATGGGCAGGAGCTCGCCCACGGATCAGCCGTCCTTCGCCGCAGAAGGCCGCTCTGTCGTGGATGGGGAGGAGCTCGAGTGCTCGACCGCGCACGTCGCACGCCATCACTCGCTCCCGTGCAGCACCATGGTCTCGTGCGTCGCGCCTGCATAGCGGCCGCGCCGCCAAGCATGCCTGCGCTCGCCGCTCGCCGGCGACCGAGCTTGAGCCACCGAGCAGCACGCCTGCACTCGCCACTCTCGGCGACCGAGCTCACGGTTGTGCACAGCCACCCGAGTTAGCACGCCTGCGCACGCCGCTCGCCGGTGACCGAGCTCGCTGTCACGCACGCCGAGCCAACCGAGCAGCCCTCCTGCGTTCACCGCTCACCGGTGACCGAGCTCTCTGTCGCGTGCGCCAAGACAGTGAGCCACCCGGGTCAGCACGCCTACACTCACCGTCGCACGCGCCAAGCCCCCCGAGCATGTCACAGGCGCACGCCATGAACGTCCTGCTAGTTTCTGTCCGGCACATGCGCATACGCACAGCGCTTGCATGTTAGGCTTCACGAACATGGCGTGTATACGCCAGGTCCAGGTGCATTGTATTAGTATTCTACACCATGAGCCCGATGCCAATGTCGCCGTGCAGCGGAGGTAGCTCGCGCGCAGCTGGCGACGCTGGAGGTGCGCGCGGCCGTCCCGCTGGACCAGCGCGACGGGCCAGGAGGGGCCCTTGGCCAGCGAAACGGTGGCGGCCTTCTCGAGCTGGTCTCGTTGACCCGCGCCAGAAGACGTCAAAGCTACGGAGGCTGCCGCGTTCGGCAGCGAGGCTTTCTGGGCCCCGCATGTCATTGAGATGGAGGGAGGGCTATAGGAAGGGTATTTTGGGACATAAGAAAGTACAAACGTCTGCAGATAGGCCTTGGGTAGTTGAAAACGTACAAAATAACATTTCTCTTGTTCCACACAAATTATAATGACATGTTTACAATATCACGAATAGTAATGGTATTTCTCTGAACTCGTATAATTATAATGGCACCGTTCAAATTAACCCATATTTCTATGACGTCATTCCTCGTATTTCTCCCTTCTTTTTTTTACGTCGCTGTACTACTGTATCGTGACCAAAGTCAAAAAGTCAGGACGGGGTAATTTTCCCAAAAAGGTGCACGAGATCGAGAAGAGTGCAGAGATGCGGCTGAAACACGCCGGATCCGGCGGACAAAGCAGCGGCGCGCATACACAATCCAGGCACGGCAGCGGGCGCTGGCGTGCCGCGTGCAGGGTCGCTGTCTGCCCTCTGCCTCCCATAGCCTCCCACGCACTCGCCCTTATCATCGATCCTCCCCTCGCTCCCATCCGCAATCCCCACCCCCGCCGGGCCACCGCCCACGCCCCACAGCAATCCCTTCTCACCCGTTTCCCCACTCTCGCTTGCTTGCTGGTTGCTGCGAACAGACACCCTCACAGCATAGTGTACTCCACAGCATACCACCGCTGCACACACAAACCACCGGCAATAAACAACTCCCACTCCCAGTAAATTTCTCGGCTCCCAAATCTCCGATTCGAGGAAGCCGGAGGAGGGGACTTCGAGCCGCGGCGATCGGGACACGAGTGGGCCCTCGACCCGTCCGCGGCTGGAATTGCCGAGAAGAAGCCGAGAGGGATTGGATTGGAGTGGAGCGGAGTTGCGGGAGGTGGGAGTGAAGGCGGCGATGGGGCGGCTGTTCCTGATGCACCTGGACGGCAACGTCTACAGCTGCAAGCACTGCAAGACCCACCTCGGCGTTGCCGGCGACATCATCTCCAAGGTTCCTCTCGACCCCTCTGCGTCTCCCCGCTGCCAAAACAAGAAAAATTTATTCTTGATTTTCGCCGTCCCCGCGGCGGATGCGTGCGGTGAGGCTGACAGCGGTTGCTTTCCTTGGTGTTTCGATTTCTTCCAGACGTTCCACTGCAAGCACGGGAAGGCGTACCTCTTCCATAAGGTGTAAGTGGCCTCTTGCCTTTCTCTTTACTTTGTTCGTCGATTTCAGCAAAGCTTAGGTTGCGTGCGCGGTGCGCTCTTAGATGAGTGTAATTTGGGGAAATGCAGCGCCGTCCTTTTTCATTTCTCAGCAGAATGTGTCTGGCTTCGGCCAGAGAGAATCTATCAGCTGGTTATTTATGCTCATAGTGGCGCTAATCTGATGTTTCATAAGCCAAGATAGATACTACACCGATTAGCGGTGGCGTGTGGCAGTTTTCAGCTAGTGAGAGTCTTGTCTATTCCTTTCTAAAACCTGGAGAAACTTGGGAGACTTTGGAGTGTCTATTGACTTTTGAGGACTGAGACCCGAAGGCCATGTTTAGTTTCATCTAAAATCCAAACTTAGGCACTATGCAAAAAGAAAATTCCCCGTCACATCAAACTTGCGATACATGCACGGAGTACTAAACGTTGATGAAATCAAAAACTAATTGCACAATTTAGTTGTACTTTGCGATACGAACGTTTTGAGCCTAATCAGTCGATTGGACAAGCATTACCAAATAAAAAAAAAATGCTACAGTGTAGCTACAGTGCAGCTACAGTAAATCCGGCGGCGCCAACTCCGCCGAACTAAACATGGCCTGAGGAAAATATGTGAAGCAAGATAACAAAAGGACCTCATTTTAAATTCTAAACTCTACTAAATTATCAATAGATGATTAGCATTGCATGGGTATACAACTATATGCTACAGCACCCACCCAATAGACAAATATCAATGTCTTAATCCTCTATATGGAATAAATGGAGAAGAATCCACGAGACAAGGTGCAGTGGTTTCAGTCACCCACACCCGCATTTCTTTCATCCATTATTCTCTTCTTTCTAGGGTGCACTGGATATGCTGGAGGCACAATCTTCAGACTTACCTTTTTCCTGAGAAATCTTTCTAGTGGTCTAGTAGTCGTTGGCTTGGGATCTTATTATTAGCGTTGATCTAGATTTATTTTCAGCACCTTATGTCTTAACAACTGGTCCCTAGTTCAATCTTTAACACCTACATGCATACAACATTAGTTCAAATTGTTCTGCCTTTCACCGTCAAGTAATTTATAGTGTTGTTGAATGGACCTCAATACATATGCTTGCAGTTCATGTCGGATACCAATTCTAGACAAGTAATTTGCTTCCAGATAATACCACTGTCCAGACTCAAGTGGTCAGTGAACCTTTTAGAGTTTTCATCCTACTTCTTTTCCTAACCAAAAGTTAAGTCTAATCTTCTCTCCTGGTTGCTTCATATCTCATGCCATATCAATGTATCAGTACTTACCGTTATTTGTCGAGAAAGGAAATGTCGATGTGCACATGAAATGTTTTTTTCCCTGTTAGTGGACTCAGCACACTTGTTCTAATACAAAGCTTCATTTGGAAGTAACTAATCATTATCTTCCATCACGAACCGGTTATGTACTTAGCTTTTCCTAGAGAGTTTCTGTAACTCAGTTCTCATAGAAGCCCACTCTAAACTAGGAGACAGTTAAGCTAGGCACGCAAGCCTGATCTCAAGCAAAGCTCTCCACAGATTGCCAAATTCGCTAGTACTCAATTATTGTCAGATCAGAGCTTCTGGTGCGGCAGAAAACAGATGTACTAGAACTGCTCAATAATGCGGCTTGGACAATTTGATGCCGTCTTACCGACAAGAGGTCTAAATTTGGTAGTTGGTGATTCGATATCAAAACAGTTCATTAGCTCCAATATTATGCATTTCACTGTTTGGTAGGATTTACAGTGTAGTTTTTCCTGGAGATGAGTTGTATTTCTTACAGTATTCTGTCAGCCAGCAGATGCATCATTAACTCATGTCTGTTATGCCCAGTGTCAATGTGACTTCTGGAGTAAAAGAAGATCGCATGATGATCACAGGAATGCATACTGTTTCTGATATCTTCTGTGTTGGCTGTGGATCCATCGTTGGATGGAAATATGTAAGATTTGCAAAGGTTATTTCATAGTGTCCTGTGTATACTGCCTTGCATCTAAGTTTTTATTATGCTCTTCTCTAGGAGGCTGCACATGAGAAGAACCAGAGATACAAGGAAGGAAAGTTTATTCTGGAGAGGTGATGGCCCCAACATTCTATCATGATTTTGTTGCCTTAGATTTGTCCTTTCAAAAAAAAATTGTCCTCTGTTCAAACAGATCTGTGACTCAGTTCGCAAAATGCCGCATTGATTATCATATTGTTAATCTGGAATTGACTCACTGGAACAAAATTTTATTCTAAGCAGGTTCAAGGTGTCGGGCCCTGATGGAAGCCAATACTGGATTGCACCAGATGTTAACTTGGGCGGAAGCGACGCCGATGATGTATGAAGTGCAATTCAACAAGCTCAAGCCTGTTGTTCATCCCCTGTAAATAACCTGGGTGTTGTTGCTCTTTAATCAGCGGGGGATTGCTCCCATTGAAATAATCCCCGGCGTAAATTGTTGTTGTTCTAGGTGACATGATCATATCCCTCCTATTGTCCCTGGGAGTCGTTGGATGTTTCTGTTGTATATGCGTGTAACCTGTAACCTGTGTTGCTTATAAGCCCATCGAGTTGTATGCCAAGCGCTAATGACCTCGAGTTGTATGCCAAGCGCTAATGACCAAATAATTAAAGTATGTTTCTCATCTCAAGTCTGTGATCGACCTGGGTGTCATGCTAGGACTGAAGTTATGTACAGATCTGCATTATATTGTGTGTTCGGTTCCAAGGTCACTCTAAATAACCGAATAACCAATATAATTGCACGCCTGTTTCTAAGATGCACTGTGGTACTATCATGTCGACTGTGGGCTGGTGTGGTAGAACCCTGCTTCCGAATTCTTTGTTTAGCTCCTTGATTTTTTTTAGTGATTCTAGTTAATTCTAGTGGGGAAGCAAGTGAGAATAAATTTCGGAGTGATTTTTTAGCAATGGTGAGCGGATTTTTTTTACCTCTCAACTCCTAGTGTAAATGCTCTCCACTAGAATCTGTGCGGAGTTCTGCTGTTTAGGAGTGATTCTTGATTTCTCTTGGAGAACCGCTCTAAGAAGACCTAGATCATGCGGGTTTCTGACTTTAGTACATACTATTGTAATTTCGTTGCTTTCAAGTAATGAAATTTGGCTCGTCCGTAGTGGAAAAAAAAGAAGATCTGCCAAACGACCCCATATGTAACAAATAAAGTTCCAGCATGATCTAGTTCTACTCATCTACAGAAATGACTTATCATCAAACAGAAGGGGGGAAATGGCGGTGAGAAAGGCGTGTGTCCGCTGGCAGCAATTTGGGACCAATCAATTGGTCTCCAGTCCACTGCACTGGACCATGTACGATACGATCATACGACATGTGGTTGATCACCATCAGCGGGGAGAATACCATTTGTGTCCTTGCCGAGCTCACCGGACATGGCGATAGCGACGCCATCTCGGTCGAAGCTACGCTTCAAGTCAACCGTTCGGGACTGTGGGTGTGGCCGTGTGGGGTATGCTCGGTATTCCTCTGTGACTGTGATGCACATGCACTGATGCCTCTGATGAACTCTCGACCCAACGACTCGACGTCATTGTCGACTTGTCGTTGGACACCAGCTTAAGCAATCCAGGTCTTCGCTTGGTTTTGGTTGTTGTCAAGCACTCCATCCTCCGCTTCGTCCGATCACTCCGGCAGGGCACACACCGATCCCAACGTTAGAGCCGAAGAAGGGATGGAAGCACCCGAGGAGAACGCGGCCGCGGCTGCCGTGGACGCCGTCACCCAGATGACCAACCGCTTCAGCGCCATCAACACGGACGACGCCGAGGCCGGCCCCCTCGAGCTCGACGACGTGGTGGACGTCAACGTCTACAGCTGCAAGCACTGCCGCACGCACCTCGCCGTCGCCGACGACATCATCTCCAAGGTCCGTCGTCATGTTCTCTCGCTTATTTCTTTGGCCGCGACTTCCCGCACGTACGATCGCACGCGAAATTCCTAGCTAATTTCAGCGTCGCGGCGAATGCGATGACTGATGAGAATATGTCTTCATTAATTTTCAGAGCTTCCATTGCAAGAACGGGAAGGCTTACCTCTTCGATAAGGTGTAAGTGCTTTTTCAATTGGCATCCTAGAATCTGTGTCGCCAAACTTTCTAAAGACTGAACTTATATATTCGAAGTTGAAACTAGTATATAGATTCTAAGTTTTCTCTAGGTCAGTGCCTGAACTTGCTTATGTTACATATATGCCCAGTATCAATGTGACCGTTGGAGAAAAAGAAGATCGCATGATGATCACAGGGATGCATTCCATTTCTGATATCTTTTGTGTTGGCTGCGAAGAGATTGTTGGATGGAAATATGTAAGATTCCTAATGATTATTTTTTGTCATATAATATCCTTTGTGTATCGCCTGACATCTAAGTTCTATGACGCCTCTACTCAGGGGGCTGCATATGAGAGGAGCCAGAAATACAAGGAAGGAAAATTTGTTCTCGATAGGTGATCATATCTGATATCCTGTGTTTCATGGTTTATACTAGTAAATATGCCTTCGCCATACATTGATTTCCATTTTTTCCCCCTACTGTCCTTTTTTTAGAGAAAGAACGTACTCAGAAATTTACAATCGTTTTCAGCGGATCCGGGGGGGGGGCTGCAGCCCCCCTCGTGAGCCTTACTGTAGCATCAAGCATAAATCTTCATTATCAATCAACATGTCCATTACTTAGCCCCCTCCTTGATCCCATCCTGAATCCGCCACTCGTGTGACCATTTGGCTAATTCATTAGCTACTTGATTTCACTCTCTTTTCATCATTACAACTTAAAATTGTAGAATAAGATGCATGATGAAGACCCTTGCCTTCTTGAATGAAAAATAATATACCTCAGTTATATGATCATGTTTGGATCCACCTAGCTTTAATAGCTAATTGTTAGTTGGGTGGTAGCGAAGACATTAATTTGGGCTTATTAGCTGATGATCCGAATAGGTTCTCGGCAATTTTAGCAGAGTTGTAGGATCCAAACAGTATCTATATCTACAACTTGTTTAGCCTAGGGATTCACTTTATTAGTGAATAAAACTTCAATCTTAAGCAGGTATCAGTTGCTTGGACCTGAATGAAGACATGCCCAGGTGGCAGTGGCACACGGTGTTCAGTTTGGCATTGTTGCTGGAAGGGAGACACTGGTGATGCATACTGTATATGACTTTCTTATCGTGTGCATATATGAATGAACTAAAACGATTCGACAAGCTCAAACTTGTTTGTGGACCCTGTAATAACCGATCCCTGCTGTGTTCTTGAGGGTGCTGTGACTTCATATATATAGACAGATTTGTGGACCCTGTAATAACCGATCCCTGATGTGTTCTTGAGGGTGCTGTGACTTCATATATATAGACAGATCGATGTTTGTTGTATGTGTATGTGCAGACTGTACTGTAGTTGTGTGATTGTGCCAAAGTTCAATGGCGGTGCTGAGCATGCGTGTATCTCTCTATAGATTTGTTTCGCCGCTAGATTTCTGTTGTAATAATATATTGTTTCAAGTGCTATGGCGCCATGTTTTTACGGTAGGCTCTCGCACAGGGATTCTCTTCACCAATATGTTGTCCCAAAAAAAACACAATCAACTCACTACTACACAAAAGCTTATCCGAGGCATTTGCAAAATGGCCTCCGAGGTGGTTGGGCCGACTGCCCGCCTCGATTATTCGTGGTAGGGCAGCCGACCTAGCAACCGCCTCGGTTAATGCTTAACCGAGGCGAGCAATGTAAAGGAACCGCCTCGGCTAATGCATTAACCGAGGCGGTCGGCCTAAAATAACTACCTCGGTTAATCAAACTTAACCGAGGCGGGCGTTTTACTGAGCCCGCCTCGAGAAATACATTTTCGGAGACGGGCACCCTATAAGACCCGCCTCCAAAAATAGTGGCCCAGCTCACAGGCCCATATCTATTCTTCTACCGGGCTCATCTATAAGCAGGAGTTAGGGTTCCCAGCCACGCCCCTCCCCACTCCCAAATGCACCCCTCACCATCCCGCCGCCCCTCTCCGCGCCCCTCCCCTCCTTGAGCCCGGTCTCTCTCTCTCTCTCTCTCTCTCTCTCTCTCTCTCTCTGGTGGTGGCGTTCGTGTCTAGATCAGGCGAGGCCCAGAGGGGCGTCTCCGGCGGCATGCCACGGCCTCGCTCCTCAGCAGCGGAGGCCGCGTCTAGATCCAGCGGGGGCGGCGCGCCCGCAGTCCGGCGGCCACACCCTCGAGCAGGGGCGCCACGGACTTCTCCGGCGGCCACGTCCTTGAGCAGCGGACGGGGCCTCCTACCCTGGCCCGGCGCCTCCCGCCGGGGCCAGTCCCGCGCCGCTGCCCGCGCGTGCCAGCGGCCATCGCCCTGTCGGCGTCGGGAGAGCGAGGGAGGGAGAAAGTGAAGAGAACGGAGGGAGGGGTGAGAAGAAGCCTCTGGAATGAGGAGCTGAAGCCGAGTATTTATTCGTTGAAGCATTTGTAGGGGCGGCTGGTTATTGAGCCGCCCATATAAATCTCAACATCGGGGGCGGCTGGTGAGTGAGATGCCCCTACAAATCCGACTCATTTGTAGGGGCAGCTCGTATTACCAGCCACCTCTATTGTTTCATTTGTAGGGGCGACTGGTCTCTGGGCTCCCAAACACGTCACTGTAGGAGCGGCTCCATCACCAGCCGCCTCCTACAAAAAATTTATCCCGTTGCTACAAACCGTTTTTTACGTAGTGGCTGTACCTGTACTTCAACCAACCACATGGAATTCTGCAGTCGGTATACATACATATCCCCTGGATCTATCCTGGCCTCTGAATTCTGCAGTCGGTATACAATACATATAGGCCGGACGGCAGCTTATAATAAGCAAATAATAAAGGGTATATTCACTCTTCTTGCCTCGATTGGCCAGGGCTGGGCTCTACCTCTACAGCGTTCATGAATACAGCAACCGGAGAAAATATTTAGCCTGTTCGCTTGCTCGTAAATGATCATAAATTTTCAGCCGGGAACAGTGTTTTTCTCTCACACCAAACCAGCCAGCAATAAATAATCCACGATACGATACGGCCTCCCGAACAGGCTGATGAATATGATAGATAGGGCACCAACATGGTGGGCTGGCCTTGCTGCTGTGTCAGTGCCACTTCTTGTCTGCTCTTATTGGACACAGGTACCGTTCGCTGATTTATTGTGAGAAAAAAACACCGTATCGTTACCGATAAGTTCAAGCGAACAGGACAGGGTATGCTTCCAAAAAAGCCAGATCAAAGTCATCCCATGATGTACATGTGTGTTTGTCGGTATTGCGTACCAAATGTTTCGAGCCATTGTCGCTGTCATATTCGACGAAGCATTCTTTTGTTAACACCGACGAGGCTGCCTGTTGGACTCCTGTTGGCAGTTTGGCACATCGCATAATTGAAGCGGAACGGACTGAGCACCGCCGAAACATGGCCGGGACCTGATGACTTTACGCGGCGCACTAGCCGGAATGACCGATCCTGCCATACACGGCAGTTCCTCCACTGGGGGATCCAGTCATCCAGTCCCTGTCCCTCGTGCTCTCCCCTCTCGTGCGAGGACCGGACTGTAAAGTCCTCACTCAAGTCGGCAAAATCAGCCAGCTTTAGGATGAGTATGTGGACGCAATCCAGTAGGTGTCGCACAGCAGGATCAATGCGACACAGTCTCATAATTTTTTCCCCCTAGCAGCAGGTCCTGAATTCGTGGAGTAGCAACCAGCCAGACGACTCCGACGGCAACGTTGGCCATGCTTCTCAGCACGGGAAGGAGCCAGCCCTATTCATGGCAAGCCTCCGTGGCTCCATGGCTCCATGGCACGGCAGCTGGGTTTATTTCCCCGGTATAAGCCATCGTTTTCTCCGGGTTCTTCCGCGGCGCGAGCGAGATCACCACGGACCGAACCACAGGCAGCGCTCCGCTGCCGCCTGCCGGGCGCGCGGGGCGCCTGTCTACCCACAGGAGTTCGCGCACAGGCGTGCCGGCCCTGGGGTGGGACCACGCCGTCGTCCTCCCGTGCCAGTGCCACGCCCCTGGGCGCCTGGGTCGCGGCGCACGGGCGCGGAACCCACCTACCCCTTCCCCGTTGGTGAAAACCGCGCGCGGCCCCGCACGGGCCACGGGGGTCAGAAACGCCCGATCGCTTCGCCAGCCCCCGCCCGCCAGCCGAACCGATTCGCGATTCCGGGCTACGGCGGCAGGGGCGGATCGGTAAAAACCCGCGGGGCGAGCGAGGACAAGCGGACGCGGACGTGAGCGTCGGAAATTTCGAGAAGCGCGGAAAGGGACGCGCACTCGGGCGGGTGGCTGTCGTACTAGGTACTTCTACTACTGTGCCACCTAGACTCGACGTGGGTGGCGGGGGTGGCGGTCGGGTTCGCTAGCCAGCCAGCGACAAGTACGAGCGGTGGTCGACCGGCGCGTGGGCGTGGTGGTGATTGCTGCCGTCATCGCGGCGCAGGAGGCCGTCGTCTCCGGCCTGTTTTGGGTGCGGGAGGACCTCATCCAGAAGACCAGAATGAGCATGTGCAGGCGGGCGGAACGTGGCCCGGGTCTGCCGCCCTCGTGCGGTCGTGGGCTTCGTGGCTGTAGAATGGAAATATTCGGGGGCGGCGGGCGGCCGGTCGGTTGCTACCGTTTCACGGTGATACCGACTATACATGACGTAGTCGTTCATAACTACGCATGTATGCTTATATTATATTTATTTACGAACATACGCATGTAAATCCTATAAATACAATTAAAAGAGTTGTTCGGCCGATGGTTTCGGTTGCTGATAAGCCGGCTGGTGCTGTTTTGTTGTGAAAAAAAAAACACTATACCATAGCTGATAAGTTCAAGCGAACGATACAAAAATGTCGTGATATCTCGTTATCGATATACTGCCACCGAAAGAAAACACCATGGTATCCTAAAATAAACTTAGAAATACGAGCATCCATAATAACAAACTAAAGACTTAAAAGACATGTTCCATCGTAAAAAGAATATTTAGTTAAGATATGCTCAATACGTGCACCACAAAATAACAAAGTCACTGGATTGATAATGGAATAATAATAGTAGTTGTGATCTTTTTTCACACACAAAAAAAAACTCAACGATGCCACGCCTATTTAGATGAGGGGAAATGATCTTTGTTTGCCGTACGAAGAAGAGGAGGTACTCTTAAAACTTGGTGTATTGTGGTTTGCAATATAAAATACGTCTATGTGGTTGGTTCATCTGACTCTGTACTAGTGTTCTTCAAATTCTCTTGATGTTGATTTAGTTTTGTAACTCATGATACGTGTCGGGGACCAATCTTAGGGTACCTAAATAGGAGGAGCTAATGGTCATCAACACTGACTTGTCCGAGCAATCAAGTGTGCGACTACGGCTTCAACCGGCCCCAGGGGCGCGGGCCCCGCCTCGTCCAACGGCTAAAGCGCGGGTCTTGCCTCACTCGACCCC